TTCAGATGTAGATTAATAGTCGGAGAACAATCACATTGGCAGCTCATATATCTTCCAAAAATTCAAGGATGGTGAGAGCACGGAACTCTCTTCGAGCGAGACAATAAAGTGCCAAAAGTTCAACCAAAGTAGCTAATGTTTCAAAATATATTCAGGGTTACCTTGTTAAAGCTTCATAGACTAGATAACCAGACAAACTTTAAATCAAATAAAATGAGACTGCTAAAAAGCAGCATTTAGATTTTGCAATGAGACTTATTACAACAGAATGGATATTAAACAAATGGAGTACATGGCGTCCAAGATATGTTGCACGCTGACCTTAGGACAAAGTGATATGATAAAGAAATGGAGCTAGGATTTTACAATTTTGATAGGGTTGTAGTGGTACTGGTTTCTAAGCACACAATCTTCGTAACTGGACATATAATTATTGAGAACATTCACTTTAAACATGAAACACTAAGAGACCAAGAATGGCGAGCGCAGTAACATTCAACCAATTGGCATGACAAGGCTCAAACATGCAGGCGAGGTCAATCTTATGTAACACATATTTTTCCACATTAAATATATTATATTACTCCCAACCAAAATGTGTTGCTCAAAAGAGCTAAACACGACATAGTGATTGACACATCAGTGTAGTAAAGGATGTGTAGTGACTCACTTTAATCACGAGAACACGATTGGTTTATTGGAAGCAATTATTATAACCAATTGTAACAGTGCCTGTTTTAATGTGCTTTTGTTTAACTGTACTAAAAAGCATCCATTATTCTCACACTTTTGATTGTGACTTCGCGCGAATTCGGTTACGTTCTGTAACCAAGCTTGTATCCTGGCACGATCTCGGTATCCTTTGGATACCACGAGATCGCCAGCAAATATATCTCGGCTTGGTCCATTAACTACCTTCTGATACTTGGCTTCCGGGGGATTTTATGGAGTCATTTGGCACGCGTTTCTTAGTAGCGGTGTTCATAGTCAATTACGACTGGACCCCACGCTACAGATGTGAATTCCACGGAAGATCTTATAGGAAAGACAGTCACAACATGACAAATCGAACTCTATGTTTTTCGGAACATTATTATAGCAGAAGATATATACAAAATAGAACATAATTCCACCGAAATGTCGCAAAGCCCCGAAGCTGAAAGTTTGGCTTGAGGTATAGCTGGTGAGAAACAATTTAGAAGTGATTTATGTTATTGAGTAAGGATGAAACCAAGTATATTATTTCGAATTATTTGAATTATAGTACAAACTAAGAGTCCCAGAAATAACGCAATTCAATCAAGAACTACAACACAAGCACAAACGAATGTATTGTATTTGAAATTCGAAACCGAGCATTCAGCAAGTACAAAAGAATCATTAGTTAATTCAAACACCACACATAGTCTCGGTATCGGAAAGCCAGAAATGCTTGTTTCAGCCCCATGTATTTCCAGAACGGAGTGTGAAGAGAAGCTTGTTAAAGATACTATAGAACGCCCAAACTTGTTTTCTCACATTAGTCGAGTGACAAAGAGAGGGAGCAATATCCTAGTATTATATGAAGATAGTACTAAGAAATCACCAGTTGGAAACGACTGTGTTAAATCTCGTAATGTACACAGCAGAGACGCATTTCTCCCAGAAACATGTAAATCCTGAAGTCCATACGCTCGATACTGCGGCCATTAAAGATCTCGATATCTTTGTTCTGCCAAATAAAAATCCACAGGACTCAATAAGATGAATGGGTATGAACCACAGCTAAGTGTGAGAGATGAATAATAACCTGGCTCCCCGAAGGAATGAGGTAGTAAGGGGCTCAAACCTAGGACTCAGTGAACAAAATCAAATGCCCTAACCACTGAGGCACTGTTACTGAAGGAACATGCATCTCTCATTGTAAACCTTTTGAGAACATGTTTTAGTCTAACTGTAACTCAAGATGAACTACCCAAAGACAGAATGATCTCCATAGTATGCCCTGTCTTCATAACAAGTACAAAGAGTAAACACAAGAACTGTCATTCTCCTATTTTAACCATTGTAGCTGTCAAGACTCTACAAAACAATACTCGCAAGCAGCAGTTTAAGCATCTAAATGAAAACAAGAAAGTATTAGAATAGGTTATCCACGACCACATGTCTGTTGATAGCACGGGAAGTTTGCCAGGCTATAAAAGATCAAAAGGTACCCGTAGGTGTAGCCTTAATTGACCTCAGTAAGGCTTTTAACAAAGCTCCGCACAACAGGTTGTTATCAAAGTTTGGTGATATCAGGATAACAAGCAACTCACTTCTGTGGATATAATTTTTCATTTGGACCCCAAAAAAGAGTATGGGTTTACTCTAAGTTGTTTAAGTGAGAAACTGTGCTCGATGAAGTGCTCTAGAGAACAGTTTCGCGACTAACATCATTCGTCTTGCACGTAAATGACCTTCCTAGTCCCTTGCCGTCATTCGTTTTGTCAGGTGCTGATAATATCAAGATATGAAAAACGGTACAAAATAAAAGGGACAGTTTTGAATTGACCTACAGAATCTAACTGGATGATCTGGAATTTGGTAATCGCCGATAATTACTTTCAATTGCGTTTTGATTCATACCGGTCAGTGTTTACTTGGCCTGAACTCGAGTACTAACAAGCTACAAGTATCTATCCTTCTCACACGAGGAGTGAAACTAGATTAAGTGTAATAAACACTTCGATTTTTCACTACAACTGAATCGAATAAACAGCCGTACGCGTAATGACATGACAGAGATATTAGATATAAAAAACATTGATAAACAATACAAGTCTACATCATGATGGAAACTAAATACAACCATTTTGAGGGAAGGTTTCCCAAGTTACTGTGAGAACTTACATTTCATATATAGTCTACATTTCTGTACAATATTCATTCTGTTAAGACCTGTAGGTAAAATGCACACTTGATAAACATTTGGAAGGTTTATTACTATTCTATTCAGCGATAGAGAGTCTGAATTAAAACTAATTTCTCTGTCATACAGAATTATCAAAAGTAACTTAAAAACAGTTCATAAAGTACTCATTTATAAATTTTCATATCACTTTCCCTTTTTTTCAAGTTTCCAAAAATGGAGGTTGTGCGGGAAAGTAACGCAGGACAAATTATTTGTCGTTCGACTGCCAACTTTTCCATAAAATGATCTTCAGTTTCACTTTCAGTTCGGAGAGGACAGGAGGTTTGAGGGCCTGTGTTAGTCCTGGCAATAGTGGTCTCTCAGTTGATCCAAAGTTCTTTTGAAAATGTCGACAGATAAGACCTCAATCACGTGCTGAGGTAACGAAATTCACTCGTTGATGATTCGATGGTAAAGTCGATAATCAGCTGACAAGTGATTTGTTCTGGGCTCGTGAACTATTTTGGAGTGTCCACGTAAATTCTCTGTTTTGGAAGACGAGTATAATGAAGGCATATCAGGTGCAAATTTATCACTAAGTAATTTGAAAACTGTCAGCAAGTCCTCTCTAGTTCTACGATATGACAACGGGAAGAGGTTTAGTTTGGCCAGTCGAGCATCATACGGAAGCTTCGCTATTCCGGGAATCAGCTTAGTTGCTGTTCTCTGAACCGTTTCCAGAAGCTCACTGTCTTTTTTAAACAGGGGCTAGCCGTTCGATGTAGTACTCAAGTTTAAGATGTAAGAACATTGGATACAAAGTCGAATACGTTTTAGCGACGACAGAACTAATAATAATAATAACTAAAAGTCCTACGTATTGACCGTAAGGTTCAAAAACTTTGGTGGCTATTGCATGGCAGTGTGCAGTAGTCTTTAAGTCTTGACTAACTATAACTCCTAAGTCATTATATGTCTGGACGACAGGTAGCTCAGTGTTATTCATCGTGTATGTATCTGTACCTTGATGACCGATATGCATCACAACACACTTGGAAGTATTTATCGGCAACTGCCATGTTTGAGACCATTCAGATAACTTCTTCAGGTAATTTAAGAGTTCTAAGCTATCAACCTTACATCGTATCGCTCTCCATATCTTGACGTCGTCAGCATATACCAAGACCGATTACGATAGGAGACGAGGAGAGTCATTTACATACAAGAAGAATAGCATTGGCCTCAATGCTGTACCCTGGGGCACTCCACTAAGCACAGTTTCCAAGCTAGATTACTTTGAGTTCACCCGTACCTTTTGTTGGCGCTCAACTAGAAAGTCTTTTATCCACATGAATAGATTGCCTCCAATTCCGACATTTCTTAGCTTACATAACAGCCGGTTGCGCGGAACTTTGTCATTAGCTTTGCTGAAATCAATGTAGGCTCCGTCTGCAGGTAACTTTCGGTCCTTAAGAGCGCACCAGCTTTCATGAGCGACTAATAAGTTAGTGAGACAAGAATAACCCATTCTGAAACCGTGCTGTTTCTCCGAAAGGATCCCGTTTTCATCGAGGTACTTAAATATCTCCTTCCGAATAATCTTTTCTAAGATTTTAACAACCACATTAGTTAGGCTAACGGGTTGGTAATTCTCAAGTTTATGTTTCGTACCTGTTTTGAAGACAGGAATTACTATGGCGTTCTTTCATTCTTTTGGTAAAAAAACCCTGCATTACGGATAGGTTTAAGCATATACTTAAAGGGTTCGCAACTAAGTTAGATAATTCCTTCGGTAGCCTAGGATGCAATTCATCGGGCCCTTTGGATTTATGTCAAGATTATTTAGAAGACCGAAGACGTCGAGTATGTGTGGGCGGATTTGTATGCGCTGACGGGAAGAGTGCTTTTATGGTATATACATTGCTAAAGTAGTTCGAGAACACTTGAGTCTTACCAAAGTCGTCCTCAAAGGTCCTCCTCTGTGAATAAAACTCGTTACTTTGATACATGAATAAATCTCAGTGTTTCGACACATTCGAATGAAAACTGGATCAGTTGAGAGACCATCATGGTCAAGACAAGCAAGACAAATATGTGTTCCTTCAATACCAAAATTGTGCTCAAGGTTGTCGTAACGAAAGTGGGAGATTTGAGCTGATCGCTACTGTTCTTCGTTCGCGTTGTTACCGCCATTTTCGTACCACCTATCTCATCCGATTTGTCAGACTGTTGATGTGAGTATTTTCTCTCGTGTTATTAAAATTTGTAGCATTGGACTTTCCTGTATGGAGGATGTATTCTGTCGTTATGTGGAACTACATAAGCAGCGTATCAGTGGTATAATGTACATTGTACCACTAATTACTTTGTGGTGCGTACCACAAAGTTTGTTTGTCAGCTAATGAAAACCTGGCAAGATAGGGTGAATGTGTATTATTCTGCTCAGCTTTTTATTTTTTGATTTTTGGCTTAAGAATACATATAAATCAAATCTAGAACAATTATCATTTTTGCCAATTTGGAAGCTGATCCAAATATCATTTCCACAATTTCCGGTTGCCATATTTGTGGGTCACCTGGCATACTACGTTACCTCCCTAACCGAAACGTATGGTTTTCTTAAAGGGACCGCTTCTCGAGTTTCGACTTAGAGGTCTAGTCCACAAGGCAGTGGAGCAACGTTCGGAAGTGTCGTCTTGTGGTAGCTATTGGCTAAAATTAAATATACATGCCGTTTTTCCTTCAGGGCCCTAGAGTTCATGCGCACCATTGACTTAGAACCAAGGTTTTCCAACACCTCCGTACTCCACTAACCCAGTGTGAATGCCCGACTTTCGATTTCGTCCCCTTATTTCTGTAAACGACGCCTCTGCTGCATGTAAGTATCGAGTTCGGCTTCTGTAATAGTGGGCATAAACACATGGTTATATAAGAACATTTTGAGATAGAGCGAGTTCTCTTCATCTCAATCTGTTTTTGCATTGGGGGGGGGTCTTAATTAATGTCAAGCTAGCGCACAACAAACATCCCGCCACCTTACCCATCAGTTGTAGGAGAATAACTGTACATCAAGACTAGCAATACAATAAGTGCAGAATCTTAATCTTTCCATATTCCCTATTGTTTAATTTGTTTAACTTCCCATTTGTACACTACCAATTGATGTTTTACTACCATGTTTTCTGTTTTAGCCTTCCATCCTCATCGAGTGGAGTATCACTGATCTTACACCTCGATATCTTTGAGGTTGGTGTCAATCCTATCGAAAACTAGGTTTCATATTTTTACCACGACGTTTTAAGTAACACAAGAAATACGTAGATCGAAGTCGTCGATTAATCGTCCTTTGAAAATGGCTAAGAAGAAATCATCACTTGTTATAACCGACCCATCTGCAAATCATGATTATATCGATAAAAAATTTGATAAAGAACCTTCAGACTTTTGTAATATTTGTCTTCTCATATTTCTCTACATTTTGCAAGTGGGTTTTCTGATTATTTAAAACGTTCTTAGCATACTCGAGTATTCCAAATATTGATTATTATGTAGATTAAAGTCTAAGTATAGTTTGTCAGGAGAATTTCTTGATCGAAATCTAACTTCAAACATACGTGATCTCAACTAATTTTTTTTATAATACCTGAAGCCAATTACTCTACTAAACGGAATCGCCGTTATTAACAAAACACTATCAAAGGTTTTGGGATTATACTTTAAGCGCACTGTAGCAGCAGCAGATCGAATTCGAAGTAATTATTTAGATTTTAGAGCGTGTATATAAGTCTCCGTTAGTTCATGCACAGAAAAGACTCAAAACTGTACAATTGATAAGCGCTCGATAAATTATTTATGGGTGCATCAGATTACGTTGCCCCAGTACTCATATGATGCAGAAAAACCAGTGTATTTTTGTCCTGGTTCCGTACTCTATTAGGCCCTCAAGTTTCATATTTGCCAGCAAACAGTTTTTGTCCAGTCCGCTTGACACATAACATCCGTCGGCCGAAAAATTAACCCAAACGAAGAACAGTTTGCTGCAAATGTCCGGAATTAGTGTGTCAGTTAACACATTTTAGGTCTGCTTAACTTCTCTATAAACATGTTCTTTAAGTCACTATTTCGGGTCATCATCGGATATCATATACTATTATAGTGTTCGGTTAGCTAAGCACATCACTTATTTTGTTTTTAAGCTTTTCCTAAGCGTCCTTAAACTGAACTAGACAATTGAAAGTATATAGACATATTCTGACCAAAGTTGTTAAAACGTATTTCTCATTTGCATGAACATATTCACTTCTAAGTTCATAAGACGTGTACAGGGAAGTTTCAAAGCATTTTTAAGGTCTAACTGAGATACCGTGTTAATTTTTGAATTTACTGATATCTTGTGCGGTCTTGTAGCTACCTCCATTTTTCATATATGGTCTGTAGAAGGGTCGAGACTGACGTTATAGTACTTTAAATCTCAGCAACGGACTGTTAATGTTTGCTTGCCTTTACATTTTAATAGTCAATATTTCTCATGTCATTGGTTTTAACTGATCATCTGATATAAATTTTAGAACTAATTAAATATGTTTTTGGTGCGATTTATCTCATTGTTAGGGCATTCCTCTTGGACTGTCGTCTGCAGTCCCTTACTTATTACAATCAGATCCAAAATCGGCTAATTACCAATCACAAGCAGCTTTCTCGTTTGCATTTTGGCCATTTTCACTTAAATTAGCTTGGGCTCCAATAGTGGACTCGTTGTACAGTTCACGTATAGGAAGACGAAAGACTTGGCTTATTCCCGTTCAATATGCTCTTGGAATTAACCTACTTATTATCGCACTCTATATTAACCAGTGGTTGGGGCGTACACCTGATAACCCATGGGGCCCATTAGGTGTCGTGCATCCAGTGGATATTTCACGCTTGACTGTAGCTTTCTTTGGACTTACTTTTCTTGCAGCTACACAAGATATTGTAGTAGATGGATGGGCACTTACCATTTTGTCTAGGTGAGTTTATTGTATAACATATCTATTAAAAAGAAGCGATCAAAATAGCTATTGAATTATATTTATTTTTATGGAGTTAATGTTCCTATTTAGACATTCAGCGAGAAGGTAACAGAGCTAAGAAAAATTTATTTTCAATTATTTTTTCATTATAACCGTATAATAAAATATATATAATTAGAAAAAAAAGAAAATAAGGTAATCATAGTAACCAGTGTGATCATTTGTAAAAGAAATGAAACATTGATTTGAAGTGACCTGAATTATCCCGAAATTCGATCGACCTTGGTTGGGATGTGGGCATCCTGTGCAGACTGCCATAAGAGCACAATGTTATATATAATGGATGGAATATGACTAGCAGGGGAACCCAGGATGCATGTTCCGTCCTATTCGGGACTTTTCAACCGGATTTCAGGAACGGAGTAATCCAAGTCATTTGAAATTGAATTAAAACTCATACCCATTGCACAAGTGGGTGGTTATCTGGATTCAGTAGCTAAGTGGATAACGTAGTGGCGTTTGAGTCCTGAAGTGATCATCAGCTCTTGGATCCAGTTACATGCAACTGACAAGTCTCAAATAGGAAGAAACGAACGTCTTGGTTTCACTGCTAGACACATTCCATGTATTCTACATAAAACATTTTGGTCATACGGTTGAGAGAGTACATAATATCCAATAAGAGTATTTCGATATTGAGTAAAATATTGACTAATTGCATTGTAGCAAAGGGACAAATACTCTCGTTCACTTATTTCTCTCTAGCTCTTTGTTCTACATTATACTCCCTCTATCTGTTCACAATTTAAATCCCTTATTTGTACCACGCCTATTTATTTCGGTTTCCAGTCAACCAGTATTTGTGTATATTAGGGAATATAAATTTCACATTTATTGACATAAGAATTTTCGATAACTGCCAGCTACTTTTCATCATTAATCGCTTGCATGTTCGAAATTATACTTGAAGCCGATCGAGTCTAAAGTCACTGATATGTGATTAGCTATGTACATAGTTGTAATATCTAATTCTAAAAGAAATTAATGAGCTATACAACTGAAGTTTGAGAAAGATACATAGCTATCTGTACAAAGAGTTTACATTAATTCACACTTGTATTAGCGTTGTGAACAGATTTTGATTATGATTATATCTTAGTTGCCGATTTGTGAAATAGAATGATAATCATTTAGTAACTTTATTTTGTAATATGGTGAAGTAAAAGCTTATGTGACTAAGCTGTCGGCACAAATAGCTAATATAAATATTTGTAACAACAAGCTAAGAAACAGTTCTTTTTCTATTAAAATAACATACATATGTATGAAGTACCAAACAGAAGTATTCTTAATTACAAATAATTTAAAGCGTATTCGTTTTTAAAGCGCGAATTTCGTAGATCACTTGTAAGTCAATAAGTTTAAGACCTGATTAGAGAACTTAATGGTTTTCTTCCACGTTATGAATGGTTAGTAATAAATGTCATTCCCCATCTTTTCAATATCTCGATGTAATCCTATTTCAAAATTTAATCCCGACCGCTGCTGCCACCTTCACGTGGTGGTCGGGCTTGCACATCGTGATAAACCAATCGGGCTATATTGGTTGGGACAATCGTTACTCAAGTTCTTAACATACCGGACAGGTCGATTGAAGAGCGGCAAGACTAAAAGAAGTGAACCTAAGGTCCGAGAGAGAAGTCCTACTGCTGACTCTACAGAGGTGTGGTGGCAGTAAGGTGCTTCCCTCAGACAACTAGCATAACAGCGATGCTGCCTTCCCACAATGAAAAGGTGGAATTCGATGTCGATTCTGAAAATGCACCTCTCACCTCATCCCACGGATATTCGTCTCCGACGGTAGGGTCTCGACAAGTACGGAGCTAGCATGAAAATTACCCACAAAAGGGTTGTGTGTAACCGGTCTCAAGAAGTCGTACCACGGGCACCGCGGTCACAATCTCAAGTCACTAAGACCGAATCTAACCCAATTTCTTTTTCAGGCACTTCTAGAAGAACCCTTCCGTGTTGTGTGCAACCGGGAAGTGATAACTGCCCTCATACCTCTAACAGCACTTGAGACCACTATGTTCATAATCAATTTCCCTGACTAAAAATTCAATACTCAGCGATGAAGCTTTAGTACTAAGTTGTGATTTATAGTTTATCGGTTTGCAGCGACAAAATGTACATACCTGTAGAATTCAATAGATGGGGGGTTTGCAGATAAAAATTCTGACCAAGTAGGTAAACTGCGTTGTGCCCACTGTGAGATCTCGAATTCCTCTTCCCAATACTTTCTACATATTTCCGGGTGACAGCTAATGTAGCGTACATATAACTTTTAACGGTCCCTTTGGTAGTCAGTCTTAATTCATATGATTGTTTCTATTAGATCCCTGAAAAGAAATATTGTTTTATATTGCATATATCAAACTTTCTAATTGGGACTTGAATTTTTTTGCTTGATTCTGCTTCTCCTATTTTAGAAAAAACTTGGGATGGGCTTCCACATGTAATACAGTTGGTCAAACATTAGGTCATTTAATTGCGTTTGTCGTCCTCATGTGTTTAGAATCACCAGATATTTCTAATAAGTATATACGATTGACTCCTGTTGAAGGTGAAGGACTGATTACTTTTTCAGGTTAGATTTAGTTTAATACTTATTTTTATATGATGAATGTTGATGCATATTGATTAATTAGTGTCATACCATTGAAAGTATTCTATAAGTTGTTTTTTTAGTGGCTCGCTATCTAACTCAAACTAGATCGTTTGAACAATTGTTAACAAAATATACATGTCACCAATCCTCGTATATAATCATCGAGTTAAATCGCGTTGGTGAATAACCGAATCAAATAAGTCAAGTACGGAAATTCATTTTTGAATACGTATAGTTCGTATAATCGTCGATTGGAAAGCGAAGCGAAACAAAATGACGCTCAGTGGAGAAGGCGAGTAAGCCAACTCGATTTAATCAAATGTGAATCGATATTTATAGTCACAGAAAAATAGGTTACAAACATGTGTTGTGTAGAATAAGAAATGCACACACGCTCATATAAAAACGGTCAAGGTTGACAAGGTCAAAATGTGGATGAAGAAGAATGAATAAATTGGTCTGTCCAGAAGCTAGAATAAGTTATGTAACCGACACTACAGTTTTATCGCTATGAGCCATTGATTCAAAAAAGTTTAGTGCAAGTCAAGATCTCTTTAAACTAAGATAATGTTACTAACTTATATCTGCTTGATTGCATCGCAGATCTCGAAATAAATGCATAGTTTATCGTTATACTAGTTTGATGAAATTCGATAATCAATCATTCATTAGTGTGATACATTTGTGTCTCGAATGAAAATAATCCTGTTTCTTAGATTAGATGCTTTGATTCAATTTATAAACTCACTTGTTTTATTTTTATTTTAGTTAATGAGTTTTCATTAAAAAAATGATGCACGTTTATATACCGTGCATTTTACTTCAAAATTTAGCTTCATTCTATTTACCTGAGATCGCAGTAAACCGTGCTTATATGTATTGTATTATTTCTTAAAATAGGTTTTCTTTATTTTTGGGGTATTGTATTCCTGGTGGCAACCACACTTGTTGGAGTTTTCAAGAAGGAGGTACCTCATAATCTGTCCGTTATATCATCTGCTCATTCTAATCAACTTGATAATTGTTCAAATGGTCCGGTAATCTATTTAAATCAAACAGAAAACATCGAAAGACAGTTATCGTCTAGAAATCGTATCGCACAAACAAATACAGTTGAAAAACAAATTAGTTGTGAATCTACTCGAAGTCGTTCACGTACTCCCAGTGGTTGGAGTCGTATTATTGAAATTTCTCCCGATGAAGAAATGAATGTAACTGAATCAAACAGAGAATTGTCATTATTTGATACCTATCGTTTTATGTTAGGCATTTGTAAATTGAAGCCTATTTTACAATACATATTGTTTTTATTCATTGCCAAGGTAAGTAATTATATATACATTAGTTTGTATTTGATCTTGTCCCAAGGAATTCGAGGTCAACAAACCAAAGAATTTTATCTTGTAGTACTGCTTTCTGTCATGTGTTGTGAAAAGATTTATTTACTAATTCTTTTTTTACGTTAATACTCCGTATTAGCTAAACTTACTACACATCACAGCAGTACCGGATAAAGCATTCCAAATGTCACAAGCAGTTATTATGATCTAGGATTCAATGTATCTACTATACACTTTTGTAAATAACGAAAGCGCCTTGTGTCTTTGAAGAAGAGTAAAGACGATTGAGCGAAGGAAATTTTGTTTTTGAAAATTTCACTTACTTAGACTTAATAATCGTATTTATCGATAATTCGTTTGCTAAAAATGACAGTCCGTATTGCAATAGAATGTTAAAAAATTGAATTGGCATCGTGTCGTAAATTGCTTACAAAAATCAGATATTCAAGGGAAGCTATTCAATAATGCAACGGCTAATTAAAATTCGTAATAATAACTAATAAATAGTTATGAAAAGTACTGGGAGGAAGTAGAAGAAAAAATATAGATTATGGTAGAAATGATGATTTAAGCCTTCATAGGATTGAAGGATGGAACATACTGTTTTTATACACAAAGGTTAGTGTGGAATTATTGGATCGTTAGTTGTGGCCTCTGCTGCATATTTGTATGTATGAATGATCTAAAAAAAAGTGTTTTGGTGAAGCAGTGTTCAAAATTAACTAGACGTCCCAAAACTGAGCTTTTGATTGACTTTTGCATGCTTTTATATAGCCAGGTAAGATTATGTTAGATGCGCTTTGAACGAGCGGGCAATATAACTTGTTCCATGTGAGCGAGTAAACTGATAGCCTATAGCCGAAGCTTTTCCTTTGGATACGACTTCGATTCCATCACGAACTTAAGTGATTGAAAGAAATTATTATATGTGTCCATGACGTCGTTAAAACTAATATTTTTGTCACAAGTAATAAAAGTATCATCTAAATGTTTTTTTTATGGGAAGAGACTGTCAATTATTGGTTGCAAAACAATGATTTTGAGATTAGCAATGAAACAGAAGTGGATCAAGTGATAATGCTATCTCTACGCCCTCGGTCTATCTATAGAACACACTAAATTTGAAGCTAACATCTTGCAGTGTTCACACTCTCGGTTGACGACATTTTTTAGAGCATTGTAATCATTAGCTTTACCTCCGACTTAATTGAGAGACATATCGAATATTAAACAATGATGACTTACTGAATATCTCAGTAAATAAATAAAAATAATATATTTGTAACAATGAACCCAATGCTCAATTTATTCGAAATTATCAAATCAAACCTTGGTAATGACACCTACAATCTCAGTAAATACTCCAAAATTAATCATCAAATGTACATATAAACGCTAATAGGAATAACTGGAAATTTGTTTGTTATCTGACAAAATTTATAGGATGTCGCTTAAACTCATTTGAGAAACCGTACATGTAGAAGTAGTTGTTTTTTCAACTTAAGCATCGGGTTTGTAGATATTGCCACCAACATATTTTAAAAATAACTGAGCAACTAATTTTTTTTTCGCATCTGTACCAAATGTTTAATTTACAAAAACTTAGTATTTCAAACATTAGTTGTCGGTGTACTTTTGCCCCGTTTGTGTACATTGTTATTTATGTGATTTTAGACCTAACTCAGGGTATTTATTTGTATTTTTATAATTAGGTTTGCTTTTGTCCTGCAGATGCAATATCTGGACTAAAGCTAATCGAACAAGGTCTACCAAGAGAGAAACTTGTTTTCATTGGAGTCCTACTTTTACCGCTTGAAGTGATTTTACCACTGCTTATTACCCAAGTGACAAATGGGCCGAGATTATTAAAATATTATACATGGGCTTTTTTACCTCGGTAGGCTTTTGTTGTGTATAGTCGTTTTTCGAGTGTATCTATGTTATAAAAGCCAAATAAACAGGTTTTTGATTTGCGTTAAGGTCCACATGATTGTGCCTTCATTATGAGAGTATGTGTATTTTCTAGTCCTATTACTGAGAACTTTGTCTAAATTGTTTGTAAGATTGATGACCTTTTATTAAACGAATGACACGGGGTTCAATTAATAACAATCAAGACTATAATGCCCGTTGGTCCTCGAGCTTCTTCCCACCTGTTCTTCAATCAGAAAATGGATGATTAAGCCGATTAATTCTCTGTCGTACTCTATCCAATTATGAATCGAAATCCATGCAGTAATATACTCGAAAGAACATACCGAATAGAAACCAAAAATTCCGATGTATACGCAACTCAATCACAGGTGATGTGAAACCGAAGCAATGAGGAAACAAGTAATTAATGATAACTCTGGAGCATTAAAACATACGACAAAGATTTATGGGTCGAACAAACTCTTGCAAACAGGAGAGTACAAAAAATATTTGAGCAGAACAGCATGAATTTATTGTACTTTGTTTGTTTCTCTTCAGCTGCTTACAACCTGTAATATTTCAAAAATCAGATTACTGACATTAAAGAGTTAAGTGGGAAATTGCTCTGATCACACATTGATATAGCACAGTATGGCTATCAGTAAATTTAATAGATTAAATAGAATATCGCAGATATATATTTTATGTAAAAGAATATTCTGCAACACTGATAGTAACAAACGTTCATTGGGCTAGAAACAAGTGGTTACGTAATGAACAAACGCTGATAATAAGCAAGAATAAAGTGGGTAAAGCTCAATTTGTTACAATAAGGTTACCATCCTAGAAATCAGTCAAAATAAAAAAAGACCTGATAATGTCATTAATGGGGAAGAAACAATTTCACAGATTGAAATCATGAGTCAGTTGAAGCTAGACCACCATTAAAAACCTGGAAGCACTGGACGGCCGTTTCATCCTAGTATGGGACTTCTCAGCAGTGCGCATCCACGATCCCGCACCACGCGGGGCTCGAACCCAGGACCTACTGGCCTCGCGCGCGAGCACTTAACCATTAGACCACTGAGTCGGCATCCAACGGTGTTAATGTCCAATTTCAACCAATCCACGAAGTTGCGCCACCGTACACCATTGTCTTCAGTGAGTTCCTATCTCACAACAGACCTGGTCGAACTCCACTGGTAACGGCTCCTCACTAGAACTTCAGGAGTTTTTCCCGAAGTCAGTCACTAGTGAGCAGTTGATTATTATCAGAATGGGTTTTGTGGAGATTTTCTAAAATAATTGAAGAAATCTCATGATGCAGTGAAAAAAATGTCATCAAGGTAAAGAAAAAACAACAACCATCTTTTGAACACATACATCAATTTTCTGACGCCTGATAGGGACGGCTCCAGCAAACTTCATAGGACTAGGGCTTGGGTGTTTACTAATCGACCTAAAAGATTAAAAATTACCGACCTAATGTCGTGTATCCAGGCTATGTTTGGTAATTGCTCTGTTTAAAGTACTTCTTTCTCTTGTTCAAGGGCTTTTTGGAACGTCTTTAGAAAATCAAAATACACCCAGCAGCCAATCCGGCTGCTTTGTCAAGTACATACAATTTTATAAACATGGTTAGTGGTAACATGAAAGGGGTACTTGTCAACTTTTGATCAGATTATTGAACATGTTCTTTTATACAATATTAATAGTTGTAAGCAGCTGATGAGAATCAAACAAAATAAGATAACTTCATGTTATTGTACTCAAATGTTTGTTCTTACTCCCTTAAAGATGATAAAATGAACCATGTATATGAAACAGGAGAGTATAAGAATACAAACATTCAAGGATGTTTTACATTAGAAATATAGGCAATTATTTCCTGTATAATGCGTAAAAAATTCAATCTCCTCTATATGACAATTTATAAACAACGGCAGTAAAATCTGAGAACCATACAGTAAATACTTCATTTGAAAAATGACCATCCATCGTCTCCGAATTGCTTGTTCCTTCCTTTCCATATCAATCACTCTCTTCGCTTCAATCTTCTTAACCTTCTGCCTCCAGCCATTCCACTTTCGATTGGTGATACATACTACTTATATGTGTCGACATCAGTAGCACACACCACACTATATATTGTTTATCATTAACTAGAATAGTGAATATTTCCATAGACATAAAATGTCACACTAAGCGCTAGAGCTGAGGCAGCACTAGTCGATTGGATCCCCATTAACAGTCGGTTATGTGCTGTTAGATTAGAAAGTTCCATCAAAGTGAGAAACGATGTCTTTTCGTCATCTCCGCCTATGCCCCGACAGATTGCAGCCCGGATGCAATCAAGGATGAGTTTTACCACCAGTTATCTGTCCTTCTCCAGAAAGTGCGTTCGACAGATATTGTAGTACTAGCCGGAGACTTGAATGCTCAGGTCGGGCGTCTAGGCACCGAAGAGAGTCGTTTAGGTGGCTGATGGGGACTCGTTGGTCGCAGGTCAGATAACGGGGACCGTCTACTGCAACTGTGCACAGACCACAACCTGTTTCTGGCTAGCACTAACTTTCGACACAGTCATCGCCGATGTGCCACCTGGGGTCCTCCCTCTGCATCTTAATCCTGGACTCAGATTGATCACATCGCGATCAGCTACCGCTGGCGTGGTTGTGTAAAAGACTGCCGCTCCTTTTGGAGTACCTATCTGGACTCTGACCATGCCTTGGTCTGCGCCAATCTTACCTTACTTTTCAGTGGACAACGAAGTGACCGCCATCAACGGACTGATATTAGCAAGCTGGTTGCAACTTCTGTTGCTAGTAAGTATCGAACCGAGCTAGCCTCTAGGCTAGCTACCACTCCACCGATAAGTATAGATGAGCATTGGTTGCAATTGCATGACGCCATGAAAATGGCGGGAACAGTCAGTTGTGGGTTTGCGAAACGTCCCGCTTTTAAGCACTGGGCTTCTTCTGGTTCCTCACAACTCACTGAAGCCCGTCGGTCTACTCCAGGTGACCGTGAGTTTGACCGTAAACGAAGGATGTTACGCAAAAAAAAATGGGCAAAGCTTGCGTAAGCACCGAGAAGCTTGGTGGTCGGAGCGTGCTAATGAGCTGGAAGCAGCAGCTGCATCTGGTAACTACCGGAAGCTCTTCCAGCTCATCCGAGCCACTGGCAGCAAGAAGTCTGGTGTGAGTGAAACAATCTGCGAGGATGATGGGATGCCAATCACTAACATCCATCGAAGTCTTGGACGATGGGCAGAATTTTTCGAAGGGCAGTTCAACTGGCCTGCTGCTCCGGCAACATCGGTCACACTGTCCTGCCCTCCATGGCCGGTGACGACTGATCCACCAAACGAGGAGGAAGTCCGCAAGGAACTCCAACTCTAGAAGCGTTACAAATCACCTGGCTCAGATGAATTACCTCCGGCTCTTTTTAAAGATGGTGGTGACTTTTTGACTAAGGAATTGACGACGTTGTTTACAAATGTTTGGGAACTAGAAAGTGTACCAACGTCATGGAATGAGTCGATAGTTGTCCCTATCTTTAAAAACGGTTCACGTCGTTCCTGTAACAACTATCGGGGGATAAGTCTACTTCCGATTGCGTCCAAGCTATTGGCTTCCGTCATACTTCGTAGGTTGTTCAAAACCCGAGAAAGATTGACTCGCGAGGAGCAGGCTGGGTTTCGTTCTGGTCCAACATGTATTAACCATATCTTCACCCTCCGCCAAATGTTAGAACATCGCCATACTTATCAAAGGCCAACAATTGTAGTGTTTCTTGACATCAGGGCTGCCTTCGATTCGTTGGATAGGACTGTTCTCTGGGATTGTCTATTGAAGAAGGGTGTGCCTGAGAAGTTTATTAACATCCTGAAAGCCCTATATAAAAACACCTCAGGCAGAGTGAGGGCATACAACCACCTTTCTCCATTGTTCCATTCGAGCAGTGGGGTTAGGCAGGGTTGCCCAGTCTCACCATTCCTCTTCAACTTTGCCATCGATGACATTCTGGAAACAGCTCTGATGAATGTAAGTAATGGTGTTGCAGATCTGTTGCCTGGAGAAAGACTTCTCGACCTTGAGTATGCGGACGATATTGTCTTACTGTGCGATAATGCCCAAGGCATGCAATCCGCACTTAATCAGTTGGCACTCAGTGTCCGTAGGTATGGTATGTGTTTTGCACCTTTGAATTGCAAAGTACTTCTATAAGACTGGCAGGATTCCAATCCTGTACTCACCCTGGATGGTGAGCAGATAGACGTAGTCGAGAAGTTCGTGTATCTGGGTAGCTGCATAAGTGCTGGTGGGGGTGTGAATGATGAGATCAATGCACGTATAGTGAAAGCCAGAGCGGCTTATGCCAATCTGGGCCATCTTTAGTGTGTTCGTGATGTTAGTCTGGCTGTAAAAGGTCGGATCTACAACGCGTCGGTGAGAGCAGTTTTGCTCTATGGTTGTGAAACCTGGCCTCTCCGAGTTGAGGGTGTTAGACGACTCTCTCTGTTTGATCGTCGCTGTCTCCGAAGGTTTGCTGACATTCAGTGGCAACACCATGTCAGTAATGCAGAGGTTCGGCATCGTGTGTTCGGGCACAGAGACGATAACGCGATTGGTGTCACCATCTTGAAACACCGACTTCGGTGGCTTGGACATGTTCTACGAATGTCGTCCCAGAGAATTCCACGTCGTGCATTATTTGCCGACTCTGGGACTGGTTGGAAAAAGCAGAGAGGTGGTCAGTGCATGACATGGTGTCGTGGCATGAAAGAAAGCTGCAAAGTACTGGCTTGTGTTGGTCCTTCACGACTCCCTGGTTGGGGTCTGAGAGATGGTGCTACACAGTGGCTAGAGACGTTATCAGATATGGCTCAGAATAGATGCCAGTGGCGATCCTGCTGTAACCTTCTTTTACTTTCTCCATAAAAAGTGGTTGTGTCTCCCTTATTTGAAAGATTTCTTCTGATTGTACCTTTCGTTCCCTCGTTACTACCACACTGCCTTACACCAACCTCTTCGTTATTGTTCTCTTTTTCTTTTGCGTTCCTTAGTTTTCATATTATCTGTCTTCGTATTTTCATTGTTTTGTGTGGCTCATATATATTGGCGCTCTCTTGTACCAATATTCATGTGTTCAAATAAATAAATAAATAAAATAGTGAATATTACTTCATTCACTATTTTATATCTATATAGGTTTACGATATCAAATATCACAACGAATGCATTTTTAACTTTTGGAATTGTGAAAATCTACAAAATAAAATAAATATTGAAAGTTACTTATACTGGTTAATTTATTTTATACAGCAGCGGGTTTTAAATGGACAGATTTGATTGCTACTAGATATTCCTTGCTAAGGATTGTGATGGCGGAAAATATAATAACCACTACAATGTTTCTGCTTAAAGTTTACAGTATTTAGGTGTCTTTTTAAAATAGGTGAATGCATTGTACGACTGATTTACGTAAATTGCCAAAAGTAATCTGAAATGGGTAATGCTACTGTGGTATTTTACAGCTGAAAAGTAACTGACCCGCCTCATGTTTGAAAACGTCATCAAATCAATCATTGAATATGATTTAGAAACAGGTGAATGAATATCTGAAGTAGAGATCTCTCAGTAACAATCCTGTAGTATTTTCCTCTGCCCTACATGTGCTATTTTAGCCATAGTCTTGCATCCTAAGCCTTAACCAGTGATATGCCTCGACTGGTACAATTGACCTTGAATTAATTCCAGAATAATGTTAACTGTTATTGGTCCTTTGGTATATTTGCCTTCTATCTCCAGTTGAGTCCAAATAAGTAAACGGAGCAGGCAAGCTTCTCTTACTATATTTTAACCACCTAGTATATATATGAATTATTGGACCGCAACGGATCCCATATATGTGATCATATTTTACACAATCATCATACAAGTGACAGAATGTAACGAACGGCACATAATTATTTGAAAATGACCAAGGAATAATAATCCGTATAACAATAGTTTGTATAGCCAACGAAGGCTTACAACAGCGATTGTAGAAATATAATAATCCAATTATGTAATAATTATATAGTAGAAGCATAAACAATAATAATCCGTAAAATGGTTCCAAAATCTCCAGCTTCCTCAATGTTTACCCCTATACAACAGAATAACTATGCTCTATACTGTTTTTTATCTACTTAAGTTTAAGCAACTGCTTAGTATTTTATAACTTGTTGATGAGCCGTATACTTGATTTACTCATAACTATTATTTTCTAATTGTTAAAAGCGTTCTCTTACAGTTTACTTCTAGCAACATTATCTGTTCCATTGATTTATTTTGCACCGTACTTTAAAATTTCAAATCAAATCCATTCAATCATTCGTAATAATCATACATTAGAAGAGTCAGCTCCCATCCTTGAATCAACTACAACTCATACATCATTCTCATGGCTTTTCTATGGTATCATGATTTGTCATTTGGCTGTGTATTCAGTATTCTCTACTGTGATGTTTATTACTCAAGTATCATTTCATGCAAAAATAAGTGATCCAGCTGTAGGTGGAACTTATATGACGTTGTTAAATACTGCAGCTAACTTAGGTTAGTTTATTAATACTTTTATGTCTGTTTTTTTCCTCAATAATCCATTAAATCATGATAATTGCAATATTTTTTCTACAAATATCCTTTCATATTGTTCAGAATGTCTGCATGACTTTTACTGGGTTTGAATAAAATGGAAAGATCGATATTACTACGCCTGTTATCATTTATGTATATGATTATGGCTTAGTCCTGTGAGGACTGCTACTGATTTATTGATTTGAATCTATTTTCACTCGTTTTAGTTTGAGATGTTGGGTAGTAGTTTTTACTCTTCCTGAATAATTACAGGTTGTTTTAGATCACGAGTTAACTTTAGACAGGCAACTATTGAATATCAGGAGGCACTAGAAAGCTATATCATCCTACTGTAGAAATCAGTAGCAAAGCATTTTGATGGTCCATATATAGGAACGTTTTCAAAGTCTGTTATGTCTTAATTTAGTATTACTTTTATGAATTTTTAGTGGATTACAGAAACCCATTATTTGTAATAATTAGGATTGAGATTCTTTCTGAGCGGAGAACGTTTATACCTTATTCAAATTCTAATCAATAAGTTATGAAATACTACTTAGTCGATAAATCTACCATTTCTTTGTAACTTTTTGTTTTTATATAAGTATACACATGTGAATATGTCTCTTAAGATTACTTCTACCAGTAAATAATATAGCGCTTTGACGATCTACGAAGGCGAATGTGTCTGCCTAAGTCATTCTGAATGGTCGGTTTTGACTCCTTCATTGATCTGCTTGTGTATTTCATGGCTTAGTAAACGAATATTTCTCAGAGATGTCCTTGGTGTGTATCATACTAAATCATTTATGTTACACAAACTAATCTTCACTATAAATCTTATCCATACTATTCTCTATTAAATAAAACATTTGTCGTTAACTGTTTTCAATTTATAGCTACAAGTTTGCCGAATACTCTCTTTTTATCACTCGTCGAACCACTTACTCTACGAAAATGCTCTGGAGCTGATTTACTAAAAGCTGGGTTATTATCTTTACGAACTAATTCTATTCACCCTGTTAATACAATGAATATAACTCATCCTATACAATATTCAAATGATGAGATTTATAGAAATGGACAGTTATGGTTGGCTAATAATGCTACCTGTGAGAATTCTAAAACTATTCAGGCAAGTAGTATTGTATGATGAGCTATAAGAGATGGCTTTAAGTTTTGCTTTATCATTGCTTAATTTTGATACTGAGTTTTAAAATTGATCTCAGTGTAAAGTGTGATCGATAAACGAACCCATCAATGACAACATGGAACGCTCACCAACCATATTAACTCTCTTTGACCTTGTACGACTATGTTTATCATAAACGATATTAGGTTTTAATGTCTAACTTCAACTGATTCACGATATTGCGCCACCGTTATCCCATTGTCTGTTTTCGGTTTTCTAATTTTGTTGTGTTCAAGGTCACTAAGCGTTACTACGTGAACAGAATTATTCTGTTTCAATTTTGACTGCTGTTTGGAATATGAAGCTGTCCTGAAAGTCCTGTCTTTTTATTGTCTTGTAAATTATCGATGTTGAATTGTTGTTGTGTCTTAGACATTCGGTTTATCCGATTTCCCATCCGTTCACGTTCATGTTAGATGATTCCCAATTGTTTAAAATAAGGAACTATCCTGATCCTTAATCATAATTACATTGTTGAACTATCTTTTGATATAATTTTAACTCACTACAAATGTCATTTTAAAAATTTACGTGGGTTGATCAAATTATAGTTTCTCTGGGTTTTTTTATTTTGTTAATAGGCTTGTCTTGATATCAGTGGGACATGTTCAAAATTACTGGATGGTTTCTATGTTGAAGTTGGATTATGTTTGCTTTTCGGACTGGTTACATTCCCAACAATAGTACTTCCTTATGCTAAGCATCTTGACAATCAACCTAATGAAGCGTTTACTTTTCGTCCTTCATCATCACTAGCCAAACATCAAAGTAGAATTGATAATAATGAGACAAAAAAAACTAGAAAGGATTGAAAGAAAGTTTCAGAACTAAAGTATAATTTGTTTACCCTTTTGTGAATATAATTCCCACCATGTTGCACTGTTTTCTTGTTTGTTACTTTGCCCATTTTTATTATATACATTGATGTGGATGTTATCTTACTTTTCACTTTCTATGTGAATGTTTTTCCACGAAATATTCATCGCTGTGAATTGGCTTCTCTCTGAGATGTAGATTTATAACTCATATATATACACACATACGCATACTCACATGTATGTCCTATCCTGCCCTTTCTACACAATGACACTGACGACGATACTGGTAGTTTGATATTTAATTAGGCATAAAGTGTTAAAGTTCATTATTACATCTTAATTATTTTGTGTTATGTGTATACAGAAAGGTAATTATAAATTTCACGTTGTAGATTGTTATTTATTTCATAATATTACTTCTATTATTTTTGTTATTTACATGTGCAAATTCTCTGTACGTGGGTGTTAATAACCGAATGGAAAAAAAAATAAATTATACAAAAAATCCGTTTATTTTCATTTGCTTAGTATCATTTCAATTTGTTCAATTAGCAACATACAAGCACGAGAAATTATTATTGTACATTAATATAATTTCACAGAAAGTTTATGGGGGTTACATTATAAACTAAGTTTAGTTAGCCAACCATGGGAAATCAAAGCTCACTAGTCAGATGGTTCTTTCTTGTATTATTATTATTATTATTCCACTTAAATTACATAACTTCTCTTAGACAATTCATACGCGAGCATTGTCTATATTAACAAAAGCATATGCAGTCTGTCATGTTATTTTTGTTATCTCGAAAACGGAAAAGAGTGGAGAAATCCTTCCATGATAATGTTCATGTCGATTCATTTCCAGTCGGTCCTGACAAACATGTCTTTAAGTTATCCTACTCTTTATTCGCAGCTCACGAAAATTAATCCCTTTCTCTTAGTTTTAATTTTTCTGTCCCCATAATACAAATGTCTGAATTGGTAGTAGATCCCTGATTTGAAAGTCTTTATGATGAACTGAATACTCACACTCCTAAACCATTAAATAGTCGAAATTCGAGTGAAGCCAAACTGTTGGATACGGAGTATCAAAGATACATACTAACTTCTCGACATCTAAAATCACCAAGGGGACCTCGGTTGCGAAATTTGGCCATTAAGAATAGAAGCTCTACCCATAAGTTACTAGTATTTGACCACAGATGCCTTGTAAATGTTACTCACATCTGCTGGGATCACTGGGCAAGTAATAGTGAGGTTAGACGTAGGGTATCAGGGAATGATGGTAAATCAGTTGATGAGGTTGTAAATCTCCGGCTGAGAAGATTGGGCCATGTGTTACGTATGTCTGATTGATTTGGAGGATTTGGTGTCATCTGATGATAACTTTGTCATTTTTTCTACATACATCTCTCAGTCTAATAGCATTAGACACCCACCTTTATTTGGGCATGTTATAATCAAGTCCCTGTTGTTTCTAAATGGTTTTAGTTGATTTCTATGCTCTTTTGTCAAAGGACTTTTACCTGTTACTTTTACGCTAATATACTAGTTGCAGCTGTCGAGAAGAATGAATTTAAAACGTTGAAATTCCTGGTTAGAAACTAAACTAAGACCATTTGTCTGTTTGGTTAAATTTCCGAATTGATCATGCGTGTGAACTGTGTTAATTGTTTCATTTATGTCACAGAATTTTATCCCTAACGATAAAGGTTCTAGTTGTACATTTGTTAACGGCACTGAAGAATAACTAAACACATATCTCTCAGGATTTAGTCGGGAATTTTTGTCGTGTTTCTGTGGTTTTTAAACTTTTAGTGAGATCCGATATTAATTTTTTATACTGTAGTAACTTACTCGGTGAAAATATGTTGTTCATCAGGTGATAACTCATATAGCACAGAAGATCTTTGCGAAATTTTTAATCCTAATAGCGAGATGTGTGGACGAATAGAATCGATATTATTTTGTGCATGGCGTTTAAAAGTAAAGTAAACCTCCTAACCGAAATATTGAAGAAAACTGGCTCTCCATAAGCCGATGTAAAATCTGCAAAATGATGAGACTTACTACGCTGCTGGCACCTAGGTAACTTATCCATATTATTCAAAGTGGTCTTATATGGAAGTGAAGTTGAACTAGCAATAGGTAGGGCTTCACACAGCCCAACTTATACTTATCGAGGTTGACGTTTTACCAAAATACATGTTAACGAGTGTGCCACATCCCACTTCATCTGTCAGTTTACATGCATGTGCAGACACACATACATAGGGAAGAGCAGTTGTGGTACGCATGTCAAGGTGATTAGACAAATTAATTCCAATGGTTGAACAAGAGCACACAAGATAGAAGGGCATCTTTCTCCATTATGAAACATTTAGTGCGAACGCGTAATGTTGTTGATATCAAATCAGTCTTTGTAGTGTTGTATAAGTGCTCAGGGGCGCATACTAAGATCTATTGAAGCCTTAGGCAAAATTCAAACTCCCTTTATATGCTCAGAAATATTATGTTCTCACCTTGTACCTACCCTGACAATATTGGTTTATTATTCATTGTGGTGTGTAAACATTATTTTTCTTATGTTTGACTAATTTGACTTTTAATTTTTCGTAAATACTTCTGGTAAACTCTGCCCTTTCGTTGCACCATTCAAATCATACAGTAAGAAATTAAAACGGAAAAGATAAACAAAATCAATATGGGGGTCATTAGTACCATGGTAAACAAAGGGTTTCGTCACACCGTATCTGGGTATAAAAAGCAGGGTTGCCATCATGAACTCTTATAGTACAGAAAAGTCAATAGGTTGATTGTTGAGCGTCTGGTCAATTATGGTCATCTACCTCCATCAGAATCTTCATCCAAAATTATTTTTAAACATAATACTTTGAAGTGAAATGTAAAATTACTGTCTAGTTGAACTTTGTTTTCATTTAATATTATATTTTTGCCTTGTTAATAATGACTATTACGTCAATGAGAAACACCTTAATTTATTTGTTAACAGTATTTATGTTAAGCAAACAACTTAAACCATGTCAACTAACTGTTACTTGTTCACGCCCTTCAATCAATGTTTTTATTTGTACATGTAAATGACTATACCCACATTTATGTGAGTCATCAAACAAGCGGGCCAACTTTGTATAGAATAATGTTGTTCATAGTTGGAACTTATTAATTATGGTTATTACCTTCGTAATCATTTTAAGTTATTTGGCATTCCCCAAAAAATTACTGTGAATTATGAAGAATAAATCATTAAATAAATCAATAAAATTATTTTGTTTCACTTTCTGAGTTAACTTCTGAACATCCATTTAATTAACCAGTGACAATAGTTTAAGTTTTGATCCTCCTTCAAATAACTAACCAAAAGAGAGTTTTGCAGTAATAGTTCAATGAGTACCGATCCACTAACTCAGACAAATGCTTAATGTTTTAAGAGAACGGGTAGTACTCTATATATTACTTTACCCCAACATTCTGTGTGATAACAGGAGAACAAAATTATTTTCTTTTGCCTTTATATACTACTATTATACGTTAATACGATCGGTGACCACGATTAAACTACCACTAGACTGGACACGATCGATGTGCTATACATGAATGGGGATGACATTATATCAGATACACAATTCAAGAATAAATATAGAGAATCAGAGTATACGCTAGACAGTACTTTATTCAACACAAGTAGAATTATATATATACTTAAATAAACTTGAATATAATTATAATAAATTCCAGGCTCACTGTCAATTAAAGTTTCTATACAAACCTAAACCTCTCACTCTAGTTAGCAAACCGGTATGAATAAGGCAGAAGTAGCCTCCTTCCTTGTTTTGATATGAAAGTTGTAAATAAATAACTTGACGCACAAGCTAATCAGTTTAACACCCAATGATGACATTTAAGTAGATTTCAAATCTATCTGTGTCAATCTAAATAGTTTCTTACTCAAGTAATCCTGAACTTCTGTGTAGTGATAAAATTATTTGCATCCAATGATAACACGCCAGGTGGTGTCATACAAGTATCAGCAAGGTCATTAGTAATACAAAAATATTTAACAATTGGATAAGTATAGGCCGCATTTTCAGTTTATGATTTATTACGGGGGCAATCACGAAGTCGGTCACCTAACTTACATTTAGAGGCTTGGGTTCGAAACCATGTAGAAAAATATTCGATTTTATTCGGAGCAAAATTTAATTTGTTAAAAATACTCCTTTTCACGTGTTTAAAACGATGGAAGGTGAAAATTATCAGCTAGAAATAACTTTAATTCATCAAATAGAAAAGATATAGGTTAATCAGGAAATACAAGGTTCTTTGAGTCCAGAAGTAGTTGTGTAAATGTCAAGTATCATAACATTATAAGAAATCTTAGACTTGCCACGGTAACCTGTTTATTGGTAACATTCCAAAGATTTTAAAGTGTGTTGTTTTCATAAAACCTTTTAGTTCATAACATAATGGAATAAGCTTATACACCGTTTATATGATTCCGGAATCTAATCGTATCCAACCTTGTCAATAACATCATAGATAAATAAAAATCTTTTTTCCCAGTATATACTGTATAATTCTATACTTTCGTTATTTTTATGATATTTAAAAGAAATACTGATTTACTCTGCAACGTTGAACATGGTGAACGTTAATCAATAACAACAAGATCCTAGTGATTATTTTGTTTGAAAACATAAATATTAATCGAAATAGTCGGAAGCATTAAAAATATAGATACTTTTAAAACTTTTGGGGGGTCATTTGTAAAATCAAGTCAGGTCATCCACTATAATCTTACCGCTTTATTTAAATCAATTAAAATTGTCCACGTACATAAATCTATTTTTTCTAAAGAATTTGTAACAAAAAAGTAAATGTAAATCTAAAAATAAATCACAAGTGATATACGTATATATATAATTATAAACATAACTATTTTTATTGTACATAAATGACCGTAAGTAGCCATTACAATAACTGCAAAACAATTCACAAAAACCATTGCTTACCATTCAAGTACATATTACCACATCTGGAAAACTTGATTTGAAAACAGACGATCACGGATATCTCTGAATATGGTGTTATCATGAATTCTCTCTCTCTCACTACTTTGTAAATAAAGAATAGAAGGTCAGAAAATATATCAATAAGAATAAAGATACTGTTTTATATATATATTAGTAAACCATGTCATTTCATAAGGCTAAAATCAATTATTCTTCTCGTTTATTGATTAAAAACAAAAATTCAGAGCAATTATTCATAATATGATTTATTCACTAAGATCAGATAAAAACAAAGTTGAATGAACATCTTCAACTGAAAATCCTCCTTTTACAATCTTAACTAATATGGAACTGTTGTAAGTTCATATTTTTCTGAAAAGCTATATGGAATGCAGCTAGAAGTATGGAGAATGATGTCTATTCTAAATTACCTTACTACATTGAAGA